CTGGATAAGAAGAACCAACATTGTGAAGATGGCCATACTCCCAAAATTGCTGTATAGATTTAATGCAATCCCAATCAGACTACCACCAATATATCTCACAGACATAGAGAAATCATTCCTAAAATATATCTGGAACCAGAAAATACCTAGAATAGCAAAGACAATTCTGGGCAATAAAGACAAGGCAGGAGGCATTACTATTCCTGACTTGAAATTATACTACAAGGTTACTGTGCTAAAATCAGCATGGAATTGGCATCAAAATAGACATGAGGATCAATGGAATAGATTAGAAGACACTGAATCCCCTATGAACACACTCAACCATCTTATCTTTGAGAAAGGGTCTAAACATTCTCACTGGAAGAAATACAGCCTCTTTAACAAATGTTGCTGGAAAAACTGGCTCTCTACATGCCAAAAACTCAAACTTGACCCGGGTCTATCACCATGCACTAAACTAAAGTTAAAATGGATTAAAGATCTTAACATTAAAGCAGAGACACTAAATCTCCTGGAAGAGACAGTGGGTGGAACTCTTGAAGACATAGGGGTAGGCAAAGAGTTCATGGACAGAAATCAAATCGCACGGGTAACAGTTGAAAGACTTACCAACTGGGATCTTCTCTTACTGAGAAGTTTTTTCACGTCAAAAGAAATTACCAACAAAGTGAAAAGCCAACCTACAAATTTGGAAAAAATCCTGACAATTAAGTACTCAGACAAGGGTCTGCTCTCTAGAATCTGTAAAGAACTAAAAAACACCAGAGCCCCGAAATTTAAAAACCCAATCCAGAAATGGGCATCCGAGATGAACACATGCTTCTCAGAGGAAGAAATTTAAGAAGTGAATAAATGTATGAAAAAATGCTCCACATCGCTAGCCATTCGTTAAATGCAAATTGAAACCACATGGAGATATCATCTCACCCCAGAAAGAATGGCTATCCTAAAGAAATCACCCAACAACAAATGTTGGAGAGGCTGTGGGGGAAAAAGGAACCCTTCTCCACTGCTGGTGGGAGTGTAGACTGGTGCAACCATTATGGAAATCAGTATGGAGACTCCTTAGAAAAGTTGGTCTGGAAATCCCCTTTAAACCAGCTATTCCTCTACTGGGAATTTTCCCAGAGGATCTGAAAACATCATATCATAGGGATATATGTGTGCCATGTTTATAGCAGCACAATTTGTGATAGCCAAATCTTGGAAACAACCAAGGTGCCCATCACCTGAGGAATGGTTGAGAAAGATGTGGTATTTTTACACAATGGAGTATTATTCAGCTATTAAGGATGATAACCTGCAAGCCTTTATATTGAAGTGAATGCCACTTGAACGTATACTCATAAGTGAAATAAACCAGACACACATGTGTAAATATCGTATGGTCTCCGTAGTAGAAGAACTCCAAAGAAGAAATACAAATAGAACGATATAATACAAGGAAAATGAAAGCATGATCTCAAGGACTAACTAGTCAAGAGAGGGAAAGGAGATGAGCTAGGAAACATGACAATGTCAAGCCATGCATTTATATGTAAAAGATGAGCAAGGCAATGATCCTGAGAACATTCAGAGGATTCTTTAACCTAGCAGTTCATTGGAAAGATTCTCACCCTGACTAACTATATATACTGATACCTGTAAACTAAGCTACTGTACTGCAGATGGTAATTTGTAATAGTGGTTTCATGTTGGGAGTGCCTGCCAATGTGGTATTCTGAATATAGGCGGCTTGTCATGACATGCCAGTTACTGCTAAGATGTCTCTCGGGTTCCTGGATGTTCAAGAAGAAGGGGGTTGTGAATGAAAGCAAGAGACTGGAAAAGGAATATTGTGGGACTGTCCTGCTTCAAGGTTGTATATGGTGAGATTTTTTGGACTTATGTGCAAACATGAGAAGTATAGAATTCTTTATCCTATCTTTAAAATATAGTCTAATTTTTAAATGTTTTTTATCATATTATGTAGGGACTTAAGGTTCAACATATCAATACTTGATGAAAAATACCTGTTCCTTATTATGCCTAAGATATTTGAAATGCAGTGATATAATGAGGTTAAGCTTGATAGCCTAAATATTTTGATAATAACAATAAGCTTGTCTTCTGGATTTTTAACAACCTAAGTTTGCAGACCAAAATTAGAGAAAATGGAGGGCTACAAGGAAAGCCAACTTTTGGCCCTAGCCTTCTAAGGTCAATTAAGACTCAGGACATATGAGAACTTGTACTGTAACGTCATGTACCTCGGTAGTGTCCCAAATTTTCTGATCAAGATTATGGGACCAAAGAGGAAAGTGATCGATGACGTAGAGTGTGCCTAAGGAGGGTCACATGGGGAGAAGACACTCTCTCAGACTTTCACAGAAAGCACATTGTTCAAGTAATGGCCGTGACTCATCCACATGGCTGCACTGACGAAAGTTCTACAATCTGAGGTACAGGATCTCAGGATAAATTCTGATGGTGTTTCACTGACCTTCTCAGACCAAAAAGTTACAACTCTTGTTGCATAGGTCCTGCTTTACCTTGGTCTTAACCATCCAGTAGAGAAGTATGAAGGCAAAATACAGGAAATAAAGCCATGCTGTTATGTTGAGCTGTGGGGGACTCAGGTCAATAATTTCTGACATTGCCAGTTAAACCGAAGACCCAATGGTATTATGGGCTATTTGACTCTTAGAATATTTTCCTGAGTTTACACAACTATAATATTCAATAACGTAACTTAGAAAAAATGGGGTACACCGATGAATGTCCATTTTGTATCTGTGTATTCAAAGTGGTTAGGATAGATATATAGTTGAATTCTCTTAATGAATAGAATGATTTGTTCTAATGGTGTTTGTAAATAGGATCACAAGTCTGCATCTTGTACAGCAATTGAGTACTAAGAAATGTATATGGAGTGTATTATTTGTTGAAACTGTACTTCCGATTTGATTTGAAACTGTCTCATTGCTATCTGTTTTTCAATAAAACTTTGAAAAAAAATTAAAAATAAAACAACATTGGATACATCTCTCCCTAGGAAGAATGGCTGTCATAAAGTAATCTAATAATAAATCCTGGAGCGACTGCAAGGAAAAAGGAATGCTTCTCCACTGCTGGTGGGAATATAGGCTGGTACAACCAATATAAAAAGTTGGAAGTCAGTGTGGAGAATCCTCAGAAATTAGGACTGGAAATACCACTCAATCCATTTATTCCCCTTCTGAAAATTTTCCCAGAAGAATTGAAAACATCATACTGCAACGACGTATGCGCACCAATGTTTATAGCAGCTCAATTTGTCATAGCCAAATCCTGAAGGCAACCAAAATGCCCATCACTTGAAGAATGGATGTAAAGGATGTGGTATTTTTATATAATGGTGTGTTACTCAGGTATAAAGAAGACAAACTTGAAGCCTTCATAGATAAGTGAATGTAAAAGAGGCTATACTCATAAGTGATATAAACTAGACCCAGAAGTGTAAATGTTGTATTGTCTCCCTAGGGTAAGAATCTGAAAGAAGAAATAAAGCCTGAATGGCACAACAGATATAGTAAAACAGAAAGAAATGGAATTTGAGGATTAAACAAAGAGGGTAGAAAAATGAAATTTCATACATACTTCATATATACGTTTCATATCTATAAGATTATACTATTAATCTCTATTATTTAATTGAAGAGAAAATTGGTGATTATATTGTTCGTCCATTTTTTCATGCCTATGTCCTGTAATCTAAGCAACTGCTTTGACAACAATATACAATTTATCAACAATTTTTACTCTCTTACTATCTTGTTTTGAAACTTTGCATTATAGTTTTTAATTTTTCTCTTTAAAATAAAAAACCTGACTGTCATATTTTCTTTTTATAATATTTATTTAGTTAGTTAAGATTTGTAGTGCATAATGTTTTCAATCTTTGTGGAGAGTTGTGTTGTACAGAACACACCTTACTTCCTTCTTTCATTCCCCTTTTCTCTCAACTCTTAATCTTCACTCACAGATTTTCCTATATTATACATTTCCACAGCTGTCCTTAGTTTCCAAGCATGGTTTGTCCTCCACAGAAGTAGTAAAACTCATGAGTATTTCTGAGGGACAAAACCATTAGTATGACACGTGCTACTTGAGAAGTAATTGTTCTTAAGACATACAGGTTTTTACTGTTTTCTGCAATAATTTTTGAACTATATCTTCCAGGAGGGCATGGTAATTCAATGCACATAAAAGTGTCTTATTCTCATTGAATAAGTTTACTTCTTAAGTAGTACATGTAGCAGATTCTTGCATGTTCATAAATTTTTATTTTCAATGATAAATTGATGAAGTTTTGCTAACTAAACAAGCTAATAATTTTCCACTGATGCTTGAGGAGAAAAAAGGAAATTCATATAGTTTTATGGTATGAATGAAAAAACGTGTACTGTAAATCAAATTCAGGACCTGGCACTTGCCAGGCAGGTGCTTGTGCCACTGATCTACATCCCCAGTCCAAAAAATTTCAAATGTTTCTGATGTAACATTTGGAAAAACACTGAAACATATGGAAAATGATGCAGGAAAAAATCCATTAAATTTTAGAATGAATGGAAAGTTTAAAAACAATGTTACATATTTGATGAAAAACAAGAACAAAGTCATTTGAGCATTCCATACAAAAGAAAAAGATGTGGAGATGGAAAATCTAATTATCTTGATTTGATCATTACACATTGTATACATGTTGTTGCTACATTGTGTCCCATAATTATAGTCACTTCTATGTATCAACTGAAAATAAAATCTAATTTAAGGGTATGAAAACTTGATACAGTTCATTGGGAAGTTAATTAACAATACATTATTTTTCTGGAAAAATTATTTACTTTAAAATTAGAAAAGTTGATATCAAGGAAATGGAAATTATAGGAAATAAAACAAGGAGCCAGTTTTACCACCACAGTGTAAACAAAGAGACACAGTTCCTGGCTCCAAAAAGGTGAGCCCTGCAATCTTGCTCACTTTTTCAGTCTCAGTACAGTAGGCACTTTTCTTTTATTCCTAAACAGTCTTTTCAGAGTATTCTTAATGTCCTTATTCCTCAGACTGTAGATGAATGGGTTCAGCATGGGTGTGACCACTATGTACATCACTGAGGCTGTTGCAGCTGAGTGTGAGTTGTGTGTCATGGCAGAACTAAGGTACACACCTATGCAAGTGCAGTAGAATAACGAGACAACTGAGAGGTGAGATGCACAGGTAGAAAATGCTTTATATCTCCCCTGAGATGAAGAGATTGTACGAATGGAGGAAACAATCTTAGAGTAAGAATAAAGGATGCCAGTAAGGAGAGCAAGGGCCAATAAGACAGCTGCAAAGTATATCACCACATCATTAAGAAAGGTGTCAGAACAAGCACGATGGACCACTTGATTAAGTTCACAGATAAAGTGGGGGATTGCCACGTCTGTACAAAAAGACAGCCGTAGCACCATCAAGCTCTGTAGCAAGGCATGCAGGGCACTGATGATACTGGACACCAGAACCATTAACATGCAAAGCTGAGGGCTCATAATTACTGTGTAGTGCAAGGGGTGACAGATGGCCACAAAGCGGTCATAGGCCATCACAGCCAGGAGAAAGTCATCTAACCCTGCAAATAGCAATAAAAAGCACATCTGGGTGATGCAGCCTGTGTAGCTAATAACCTTGCTCTGCATTTGGATGTTCACTAGCATCTTTGGGATGCTTGTGGAGGTGAAGCAGATGTCTACAAGAGATAACACAGAGAGGAAGAAGTACATGGGTGTGTGCAGGTGGGAGTCCGAGATAGTGGCCAAGATGATGAGTAGGTTCCCAATCACAGTGATCAGATACATGGAGAGGAAAAGTCCAAATATGAGAAGTTGTAGTTCTGTTGCCTCTGAAAATCCCAGAAGAATAAATTCTGGAATTTGCGTGTTATTTCTTGGTTCCATGTGGTGAACATGACTACCAAAAAGGAGAAGAGTAACATCATTGACATTCACATAGGCAGATACCATTGAAATGCCACAATTTATATTTTTAATCAAGAAACTTGCTTGTGTATTTTGTATTAGATGTGATCTACTATACTGATTTCCCATATTCCCTTTAAGTATTCCTATCCACCTTCGGCCTTTTCCTATGAGTTCATTACCCTACAATGTTACATTTTCCATACACTTAAGGAACATATACTTGGTGCCAACCATGCCTCAGGTACTGTGGAAAATGGTCATAAGGTGCTGAAAAATAAAAAGACCTCAAAATCTATTAGGGAAAAAAATGTAAGCATATAATGAACCTGGTAAGATGATGATAAATAAAAAAAAAAGAATAAAAAGCTGAGAAGGAAAGGCTGGATAGGATAATGCATGCTAGTTTTGTGGGATGTCTGAAGCAAGTAACAGATAAGGCTGCATTTGAATATAGAATGGAAATTAGACAATTTATAGTTCCCAAAGTTAATTTGAGAAGTGTGCCTGGAAGGAGGTTCTTCCTGAAACCTTATTATTATTTCAAAATGAAAGGAGAGGGCCAGGGAAATAGCTCAGTAAAATAAGCGTCTGCCTGGCAAGCGCAGGGTCCTGAGTGCAATACCTGGCACTGCAAAAAAAAAAAAAAAAAAGAAGATGAAGAAATAAAAGAAAAGAAAAGAAAAAAATCATTCAAAAAAAGGAGATTCACTCTGAAGAAGTTGCTTGTTTCAGATATTTAAGTGTAAGAAAAAGCCTTTAAGCAAGAGGGGAATAACCTACAGGGAGTGATGTAGAAAATGTCGGTGAAAGTGGATGAGGAAGAAGTCTCATTGCTTCTGCTGAAATTTCAATGTATACTAATCTCCTCATGCACATACTGTACCTCCTGTTTTATTTTCTTTCAAAGCATCTCTTTAAACTGAATGTACCTTTCCTTATCTTCATTTGCTCCTGAACACTCAGACATCTAAATTCTGAGTCGCATTAAATCATATATGACCTTAGGTAACCTAGCTCTGAGGCCAGCTCATTCCCAACAACACAGACACACATGCACACACATTCATACACACAAAGTATGCGTACATAAAACAGATACACAGTATGTATACAAGTATGGCCACCTGAATTCATATCACTTTGAAACTTTCCTAAGCTCCAGCCAAATTGATTAGGGGAATCTTGCATGATACCGCTACACCAGCGGCACTGTTCAAATTGATTACATAAAGAATGGGTACAAAGAAAGCTGCGAGCGTCCCCTAAAAATATAGACAGAATTCTCCAATTGCAAATGGCAAAATTCCTATGAATAGGCAAATTTGGTGCTTGGTGAACTTAATATAAACAAGTTAGAGAATCATAAATCAAGACATCTGCTCAATCAACAGAGATAGGGATGAAATGGGCAAGATGGATGAAAAATAATGCACTCAATGGATTCGTGAGAGTTTGTGATGACAAGAAAGCTTCCTAGGCTTTACAGGCATTTCAACTCTGGCTTTATCTTGTCCATGTGCAGAATGAGTAATAAAGTAGCAAAAACTGATTATTTGAAAGAGAAAGGAGAGATGCTTATATATTGACAAGACTTTTAGATTTATCTCCCCACAAATAAGCACAAAAAGACAAAGCCCTAAATTTACAAAAGCTACTCCATGTGCAATAGAAGTAGAGGAGTTTTAAAGAACTGTTAGGGACTGGAGAGTTGCTTAGTAGAATCAGTGCTTCCCTGGCAAGCTCAAGGGTCTCAGTTCAATGCCCGCTTCTGCCAAAGAAAAAAAGGAAAGAAAGAAAGAAGACCTGTTAAAAGGCTTTAATAGGTGATATTAAATGAATAACATGCAATCAGAAAACCAGATTTTGAGCCTTAGATCTCCAAATATATCAGTTATTTGAAGGTGGGGGCATAAATGAACATAATAAATACTAGCGTCCTCATTTATACACTGTGGATATTAATACCTATCCTCCTTAGGTGAGTCAGAGCCTCAAGCAGTGCACACAGAATTTTAGCATGGCTCCTTTTAATAAATGTACAGTTATCACTGGTGAGAGATATGGTAAACTTTGCTTTCTAACTCTTAAATGTTTTCCTTCCTTAAACACCCCTTGTTCTCCAATTAGGAGAATTTATAGAATCTGTAGCTTCATACACTGTTCAACTGTCTATGCCTACCTCACTGGCTTGGCCCTCAGGCACCCTGCCCCTACTGATTTCCCAAATTTGAAGCTGACTTTCAGCTTAACCAGCAACACGAGCTTCAACACTCATTCATTTCTCTTTGTTGAGATTCTCAACCACAGGTCTATTTGGAATTTTTGCCGCTTCTCCATCTGAAAAACTTTACTTACCATTTAAAAAGCCTGTGAATCCCTTCTTCAATGACTTAACATTACCACAGACAAGTCACACTTCCTACATGCATTTACCTGACACCTTGAGAAAATAAAGGTGCTGATTCTACTTAATTCTATATCTTTCTTGCCCTTAGATGATATCATGATGCATATAGAAATCTTCATATTCTCCATAGCTGCCAGTTAGGTGAGTTAAAAAAAGAAACTGAGTAGATGCATGTATCAACATAGAAGACAATGCATTGGTACAGAAACTTCTGATAATACAGGAAAGCAAAAAAGCAAGGAAAGGGGCCGGGGAGATGGCTCAGTGGAGTAAGTGCTTCCCTGGCAAGCACAAGGGCCTGAGTTCAATCCATGGTTCCGCAAAAAAAAAAAAAAAAAAAAAAAAAAAAAAAAAAAAGCAAGGAAATGCCAACATAAGCACGGCAGATATATTCCATATTCCATGTTCTGGGCCCATTACAGGGTCAGACTGTGGTTTATTAAGATTTTTATAGAAGACAGTAAATGTAACATGAAAGAAAACATCACACACAAAATGATAGAATTACAAAATTGTGTGTTGTGGTGTCCTATTTGTGTGCACATGCATGCTAGATCACAGGTAAAAGTTTTTTTTTTTATTCTGGGACATAATCCAAAGTTAAGAATCCACTATAGATAAAGACAAAGATATTTTTAGAAGAAGGTAAATTGCTGCTAATGCGAGGAAGGCAGTGTGAGTGAGTTGTCCAGCAGAAGAGCCAGGGTTTTGAGAGAACAGTCAGCCAGTAAGTGCTGAAGTTACCTGTAGATCAAGAGCCTATGAACGGACCTCACATTTCTTGCTCTTCTTTCTTCACTATTGCATCCATAGCAATGCATTTATCATTTCTATATTCATTTCATATTTGGCCATACCTGATTTTTATTTTTTAATTTTAGTTGCTGCATGATAGATATATGTTTTTGAAGAATTGCAAATATACTATATATCTTGCCTAAGTCAAGATAGATTTCCATCTTTCCATCTCCTTAAGCATTTATTTATATTTGGAATGCATAAAAGATGAGGCAATCTCTGCTCTCACTTTTATTTGTGGTATCTTTTCCTTGTTCATGGATTTGATTTCCTTTTTCACAAATTCCATGAGTACATTTCAGTAATTTCTATTCCTTATTTAACATGCAAAGTTCTACCCACAACATATTGTGTGAAACCCCACCCAAAGCATGCCAATATATACTGTTTCTCAGTATAATTTATGCATAATAACATTACTTTGTCTATGCATTTATTTAATTTTACTGTCTTTTCCACTATAATGTAAAATCAATTAATCAGTTTACTTTTGCAGTTTCATAAAGCTACGAATTTATATGGAAACCAATTTTAACAAATAATGGTTGTATAAATAAAAATAATGACAGAGCAATGAAGGAACTTGTTAAATAAAAAGTATCAAAAGAACCTATATTCAATGAAACAAAGAAAAAAGAAATTCTTTCATGGGACAGCAAGATAGAATTGAAACATATTGCATTAAGTAAAATAATTCAGGACAGAAGTACATTACTGCATGTGTTCTCTTAAGCATGGAAGCTGAAAAAGCTAGTCTCATAGGAGTGGAGAGTAGTGCAGTGGTTACTAGAGAATGGGAAGGGGAATAGATAGGAGCGAAAGAGAATTCATAACAGGTTCCAAAGCACAGATGCAATAAGAAATAAGTGCTTGCCTTCTACAACATAGTAAGATAAATATTTGTAGTGAAAGAAATTTTAAAAAAACAAAAAAGAAATTAATTATGCACAGTATAAGAAACTAGAAGAGAGGAAATGAAGACTACAAATACTAATAATTCATAAATATTGAAAGTGATGGCACTGCTAGTTTAATGGTAAGATAACTATACATGGCATACATGTATCATGTGTACAATTATGGCTGATTAAAATTCTCTAAGAAATAAAAGTATACATGCAAAACAAGATTATAAAACATACAACAGATTTTTTGCCACCAAAGATGCACGAAACATTTGAAATGCCATGCAGTTAAAAAGTGATTGAGGTGGTGTACATAATATGACTAATTCATAAACCTGACCATAAAATGTTGGTAAACTTTCAGAAATTCTTCCCAAATACTTCTATATATTTAAAAATGAAATCAAATTGGCAAATGGCAGAGCTGTTTAAAAAATTCAGTTCTTATGTTTGAAAGAATGCAATGAAAAAAAAAAAGAGAATAGACTACATATCCACTATAAAAAAGCGAAGATATTTCACAGACTGCAGTGGAGAAATTTAATGTATAAAGGTGCTACACATATATTTAGTCTTAGAAGTAAGGAAATAATTGTAAATTAAAAGTTTTTATTATACCTCTTCTCATCTATTAAATAAAAAATTTTACAAAAATTTATGCATCCTGAGAAATGTTTTTAAAATATATGACTCATATACCAATATTTAAAAATCTAAAACTCCCCTGACCCTCTAGTGTTTTTTTACTCACTTATCTATAAAACATGAATATTATCTATTTTTCTCCAGTACTGCTTTATGTCTCTTGTACTTTCAAAAGACTCACAAGGTGAATGTCCATACCCATAATTTAACATATCAGTAATTAC